AAATTCCATACTGTGTTTGCAAGAATGGTAATCTTCTATTTATATATATATTGAGATGGAGGAAATTGTGGTATAAATGGATGCTTAATGGTGGGCTTGTGAAAGAATAATGAAGGAAAGAAAAAAGAACTAATGACTAAGTTATATATGTGTACAGGGCACACTTCAGGAGGGACAAGCACTCCATTGTAGCACTGTGAGTAGTAGTACTATAGTCGTACGTTCAATTATCGTTAATGATTTTCATTGTTAAGATTATGTTCCTTGCAAGTAATTAAGTTAACATTATGTTGATTGGGAAATCTAGAGGCATTAGTGAGCAGTACATTCTGTTTACTGTTGACGATGAATACTAACATTCTGTTATTTATAAGATAGCTTACGAACAAATGGAACGTATTAGCAATATGGAACTATGGTATCCACGTATCTCTAAACCCATTCAATCGGTAAAATGTGCTTACCTTTTTGTTAATAATTATCAGGAATGTCCTGTTAAACTTAAGTCAACTATGTTAACATATATAAACGATCAAACAAAGGTGTATGCTTCTATATGCTACCGATGAATAGATCGAGTGAACTACGCCATTCTTAACGAATAATTAGCTAAGACCACAGATTATTTTATACGTTAATACCTGCTAAGTATTATGATAAACAACGGATTGACTTACGGATGGCTCAACCTAAAGACAGAATTAAATATCGATGACCTTGTCATGTAACCCACATTATGATGTAACTTGTTCCGTTTTTGCTAAGTGTACTGTAATGACATGATATAACAAGAAATGTTCTATGTTCTAATATGTTACGTTTTGAATTAATGAACAGTTGGCCATATATGTAAAGTATTCATGACATCCGTAGCACACGACCCTTACCGGGAGGTAATAATACCGTGTTTTCAAGTATGTTACAAGTTCAAGTATGTTTTCAAGTATGTTACAAGTTCAAGTATGTTTTCAAGTATGTTACAAGTTCAAGTATGTTTTCAAGTTTGCTACAAGTTTAAGTATGCTACAAGTTTACGTATGTTATAAGTTCTCAGTATCGGGGGATTCCCCTCATGGAACTAACAAGTATGCTTTATATTGATTTGTTAGCACTATCGAAGTGCCAAGTATAATCAAGTATGAATTCCGATTTCTGTTTATGATTCAAGTATAATGCATATATATGAATTTGTTTCCGTTTATGGTATGACATGATATGAATGGTTTGGTCTGTAAGACCTATTAATTACTGGTATGGAACAAAGTGCTACTTGGAACTAAGTGCTACATTGTGAGCCACCTCTAGAGTCCATGTGAGACACCTCTTGAATTCATACAACTTTTGAAGGGCTTAATACCAATCCTTCAAGGGCTTCATGCCAACTTTTCAAGGGCTTTATGCCAACCTTTCAAGGGCTTATTGCTAATATATTTAAAGGCTTATTGTCGATACGTTCAAGGGCTTAATGCCAACATGTTTAAGGGCTTCATCCCATAAGTTCAAGGGCTATCTACCATGCTACTACATTCATGGGCTTATGCCACTCTGTACAAGGGCTTCAAGCTGCTATGTTTCAAGATATTATGTTTCAAGCCATTACGTTTCAACACTGGGCCTAAGGCCATTATGAAATTAGTACAAAATCAATTGACCTTGTGTCCTCTTATTTATGTGTGCACTGAAATGCTTTATAATTCAAGTTGAGTATTGAATTGTTATGTACTATTATTCACTGAGCTTCGCTCACTTTGTGTTATGTCTGTTCTGTAGGTAATCACTTGGGAGTCCGTCTTAACCCTTAATGCTCACCCTTCAGTTGTCAACCTCAGTATGCCCAGGCTCCCAAACCAAGCTCATGCATTTATGTGAAGTTTTGTTAAAAAATTTAGTTTGCACTTTAATTATTTATCTAAGGTGAAGATGTATGTATGTAACCCCTTTCTTTACCAATGTTCGGTTATACGCTCAATTATGTATATGGGTATGTATTTAGATAAATAGCTCTCACGTATGTGATCCTGGCATGTTAGTTTTAGCTCAATGGATGTTATTCTATGTTACTTTGTAATATTAAATGCTTCCGTTCAAGCCTCATATAGTATGTATATCAGGTTAAGTGTCCATTTCTGCATAGGTCATGCCTGAACTTTTAGGGGCGAGTTTGGGGCGTGACAAGTGGTATCAGAGCACGAGTTGTTATCTCACACACGGATCCATTGAGCTTTAGGATGTCTAACAAAGACTTAGGCCTCATACATGACATCCTTAATGCATATGAAAAGATTGATGGCAATGTTAAATGCAATCTGTTAACGCTAACGACTATGCTCCATGTCTATTGTACATTCTTTATGTCTATTGTCATTGATTGTTGAGCAGAACGTGGCAAGAATAAGGATGGAGGACCCAGAGGATTCTACTTCTGTTTGGTTAGACAGAATAAAAAGGGATAATGATTGGTAATGCAATTTTTATGCAAATGAGTAAGTAAGAGGTATGGTATCGGTGGTTATTTTTGGATTGATAGTTACCTATCTTCTGTTTAGATGAATTATTTAAACACTAAGATGGAATATGTCTAAGCCCAAAGAAAATGATATATATGATACTCTAACTTTTATGATATAGTTATGTCTTCCGTGCCGTAGTAATGTTTGGAGCTATGATTGTGAAAAACTATTGTGTTAGGTATTTGGACAAGTTGTGTTTTACATGATAGTTGAATTATATTAAGTGAAATCGGCTGTAAGAGAAGGTTATAAGGTTAAGTCAATACAACGTGAACTTTGTAATCCGTAATCAGGATTTTGTAGAAAGAATGATTGAACGACATGAAGAACTTTACCTACATTATGTTTTCGCCTATATAAGACTTGTAAAGAAGAGGTCGTTACAATTTTGTTTCAGTATATCACTAACTTAAGCTTGCGAAACCATTTTGTGAAATATATCTATGTAAAGATGCAAATGTTCGATATTACAATGTCACTCTGGTTCTCTATTTTGTATTGGAAGTTATATATGAACCGTTCTGCATGATGGGATAAACTTTGTTCAAAAGAAAGGACATGGAGATATTCTATATTGATGGTACCGATATGCACCCCACTCATGATATGATTACGAATTGACTTCTTGTCATTGACCTTGCTAAATCCTAACTCTGAGATTGATGGTCAAATCATTTTGTTGCTCTATTATTGAATTCCTATGTATGGGTTAGTCGAAAAGTATTTTTGATCTTTTCCTTGTGATCTTTGTTGTTGCGTATCTTTAGAACATTGAGGTATCAAACCAGAAAATTAAGAAGCTATCCTGAGTGTGGGTCTAGTTTTGGACCATTACAGGGTATGTTTCGTTCATGTTTGAGTTGTCTTCTATTTGGTTTTCTTCAATTTCAGGGACGAATTTTCCCCAAGGTGGATAGGTTATAACACTTTGTATTTTGGGTTTAGAATTAAAGTGAAGTGTAATTGAAAGTTGTCAAGGTTTGGTGGATATATATGGGTGCTCTCATGCTTTGTTGTGAACTAGGGGTTGTTAAGAATTGGTGAGCATAAGGTTGTTGCTATTTTGTTAGAACGGATGCAAATTTCGGGGACAAAATTTCTTAAGGAGGGAAGGATGTGACGATCTAGAAATTTTCCTTTCGCTCGAGCGGGTCGCTTGGTTGAGTTTGAATTTTTAAGGCACGTGGATTCGTTTGTGGCATTTTATTAGTATGTTTGGAACCTCCTTAGTTTTATTTTGGGGCATTGATTGAGGTGGTAACAGGATGGAAAAGTAAGATTGGACCAAAAACTTTAATTCGAACACTTCGCCTACGATCAGCCGTCACTCTTTTGTCCTTTTCTTTTTCCACACTTTGAATTTAGATGTGAGGCTAGGACCATTGGAAAGCTTATTTCCGGGGCTTCAATTTGGACATAAAAACGACTTAAAACGGAGTCTGGATGAGAGAGTTATACCCATTTGAAGTTTTCACATCTGTGCTGGAAGCAGGTCCGCACGTGCGGGGATAACGGCGCACGTGTGGGACTGTGCGGGACAGCAGCTCAAAAACGTGATTTTTGGACCATTTCTTACATTTTCTTTTTCTCTCTTCTTCTCCCCTCCTCCATGTCCGAAACCCTAGCCCCCAAAACCTTGATTTCCTCCACTTTTATCAACAATCCACCATGGTTCTTGCATCAAGGATGGGGAACAAGAGAAGATCAACATTTTCTACCGATTGGATTTCAAAATTTTGGAGGAATCTCACCAAGCTTGCTCCCTTGTTTGATTCTTGAGGTAGGGGTTTTATTATTGGGTTTAGATTATGGTTTATGGATGATGGACCAAAGGTGTATAATAAATGGAAAGATTGGAACAAAAAGTAATAGGTTAAGAAATTTGGATTGTTCTTGAAATTTCTAGATTTTTCTTGAAACCCTATGTTGATTTTTGATGATAATCAATGATTTAGCCCAAATTGAGAGTTGAATCATGAAATTGGTAGGTTGAATTATATATGTACAAGTTTAATTAGAATTTGGTTATGTTTGAAAATTATGTTTAAAATTTGCGAATGAACTTTGTTATGAACAATGTAAATCATGTTATAATGAGAAAGGAAATTGGGGGAAATGATTTGTTAATGATATAAATGACATAAACTCGGTTATGGAATGTGGAAATGAGATTTAAGAATTCCTCTTGAATTATATTTAATGATGTTGAGTTGAATCATGTTGTTTATGTTGAATTGTGGTGATTATGCGAGATGGTATTGACTATGTTGATTTTAATTTTTGTGACTTAAAATGTGGAGTTTTCCGAAATGGGTTTAATCCCAAATTATTTTGCTAAATACTTGTGGGCTTGCTTAGTTATTAAAATCAAGAGAATGATTTAATGGAGTTTCTTTATGGAGATAGGAAATGTTTGGTTTTTGGTGAAAACCCTAGACATTCAGGGATTTTTGGAAAAATGTGGAAGATGTCCATACAATTCCTTTCTATCTTGAAATCGAAGTGATTGATTATATATTCCATACTGTGTTGCAAGAATGGTAATCTTCTATTTATATATATATATTGAGATGGAGGAAATTGTGGTATAAATGGATGCTTAATGGTGGGCTTGTGAAGAATAATGAAGGAAGGAAAAAGAAAACTAATCACTAAGTTATATATGTGTACAGGGCACACTTCAGGAGGGCAAGCACTCAGTTGTAGCACTGTGAGTAGTAGTACTATAGTCGTACGTTCAATTATCGTTAATCATTTTCATTGTTAAGATTATGTTCCTTGCAAGTAATTAAGTTAACATTATGTTGATTGGGAAATCTAGAGGCATTAGTGAGCAGTACATTCTGTTTACTGTTGACGATGAATACTAACATTCTGTTATTTACAATAAGCTTACGAACAAATGGAACGCAAGCAATATGGACGACTGTGGTATCCACGTATCTCTAAAACCGTTCAATCGGTAAAATGTCTTACCTTTTTGTTAATAATATCAGGGAATGTCCTGTTAAACTTAAGTCAACTATGTTAACATATATAAACGATCAAAACAAGGTGTATGCTTCTATATGCTACCGATGAATAGATCGAGTGAACTACGCCATTCTTACGAATAATTAGCTAAGACCACGGATTGTTTTTATACGTTAATACCTGCCAAAGTTTTAGATAAACAACGGATTGACTTACGGATGGCTTCAACCTAAAGACAGAATTAAAATATCGATGACCTTGTCATGTAACCCACATTATGATGTAACTTGTCCGTCTTTGTTAAGTGTCTGTAATGACAGTGATAAACAAGAAATGTTCTATGTTCTAAATATGTTACGTTTTGAAATTAATGAAACATTGGCCATATATAAAAGTATTCATGACATCCGTACAACACGACCTTTACCGGGGTAATAATACCGTGTTTTAAGTATATTACAAGTTCAAGTATGTTTTCAAGTATCTTACAAGTTCAAGTACGTTTTCAATATGTTACAAGTTCAAGTATGTTTTCAAGTTTTACAAGTTTAAGTATGCTACAAGTTTATCGTATGTTATAAGTTCTCAGTATCGGGGATTCCCCTCATGGAACAAAAGTATGCTTTATATTGATTGTTAGCACATCGAAGTGCCAAGTATAATCAAGTATGAATTCCGATTTCTATTTATGATTCAAGTATAATGCCATATGTATGAATTTGTTTCCGTTTATGGTATGACATGATATGAATGGTTTGGTCTGTAAGATCTAGTAATTACTGGTATGGAACAAAGTGCTACTTGGAACTAAGTGCTACATTGTGAGCCACCTCTAGAGTCCATGTGAGACACCTCTTGAATTCATATAACTTTTCAAGGGCTTAATGCCAATCCTTCAAGGGCTTCATGCCAACTTTTCAAGGGCTTTATGCCAACCTTTCAAGGGCTTATTGCCAACATATTTAAAGGCTTAATGTCAATACGTTCAAGGGCTCAATGCCAACATGTTTAAGGGCTTCATGCCATAAGTTCAAGGGCTATATACCATGCTACTACATTCAAGGGCTTATGCCACTCTGTACAAGGGCTTCAAGCCGCTATGTTTCAAGATATTATGTTTCAAGCCATTACGTTTCAATACTGGGCCTAAGGCCATTATGAAATTAGTACAAAATCAATTAACCTTGTGTCCTCTTATTTATGTGTGCATTGAAATGCTTTATAATTCAAGTTGAGTATTGCATTGTTATGTACTATTATTCACTGAACTTCGCTCACTTTGTGTTATGTCTGTTCTGTAGGTAATCACTTGGGAGTCCGTCTTAACCCTTAATGCTCACCCTTCAGTTGTCAACCTCAGTATGCCCAGGCTTCCAAACCAAGCTCATGCATTTATGTGAAGTTTTGTTAAAAAATTTAGTTTGCACTTTATTATTTATCTAAGGTGAAGATGTATGTATGTAACCCCTTTCCTTACCAATGTTCGGTTATACGCTCAATTATGTATATGGGTATGTATTTAGATAAATAGCTCTTAGTATGTGATCCTGGCATGTTAGTTTTAGCTCAATGGATGTTATTCTATGTTACTTTGTAATATTAAAT